ATCTCGGATGGGGACTGACGAAATGTCACAATAACAAACTAATACACAACCCTACGGGATCTCAAACAACCTAAATCCTACGGGATATGCCCAGGGGTGCCCGAGGACGTTTCCTCAAGGGGGGGAGGAATGTAAGAGGGATCAGCTCCCCTGGCATCTCCCAGTTGGGAGTACTCTCTGCCTGGAGCCACATCTGCTAATGGTCAAATAGAGAAGACCTCACACCTACCTCGACGTGGATCAGTTTGTGGCTGACATCCGGTGCAGCCTCAATGTTGCCTACGGATTTCCACAAGAGATCCATATTAACGGTTGCCACCGCTGCATCAAGCTCCTCCTGCAGTTCGGGGTTGGCTGCGTACTTCAGGACGTAACGTGGGATGCCGCCCCACCGAGCATACAGCTCTGACAGTTTAGCTTTGCTGACCGAAGAGAACATGATGCCACGTGCTGCCTCCAGCTCCACATAGGACCAGGGGCCCATCCATAACCTCAGGCCAGCTTGCTTGGCATATTCCTACAGGACACATCATTAGCATGCAGGCAACCCTAAGGCACTGATTGGGGCAGTAACCCATGGGTTACCCATTTTCAACCCCCGGTAGCCCTTTGGTAACCCCCTTGTAAGTTCCTACCCAGCAGGAGGGGTAACATGACCCCAGGGTAAACCCCTCCGTTGCCCTGGATTGTGGACATATGTATGGGCCTATAGGCTACTCGTCTTATATGCATCCCACACCGTAAATTCCGCGGATGGATACTTTTTAAAATGTAAACGTTAGCAACCTACAGTATTGTGGTATCTTGGGAAGCATTGTTTGCCAGTTCAACCTTAAGGTCTCTAATGCTGGCATCACACACGCAAGGAATAAGCAATAAATACCTATCTCATGGCCTATTTGGCTGCTGTAAAACAGGAGCTTGTAGATGAGTACAGGAGAAGGCGTGAATGCTGGCAGCATATACACAAGTCGACGACAGGTCTTCACTAAATGGATGCCTTTGGTTGTCATCGATTGTTATATAATAGTTTGCATTGTGAAAACATCAGGCAATCAGTCCTGAGGTCGGCCAACATATTACCGGGCCGGGGATGGTCGTACACATATGTGCATGCTGCTTTTGCCTCCACTGATACTCCTAACGAGCACATCCAAGCTTAATCACAGCTAATTTGCTTGTAAGCTCATGTAATGCACACTCATGGCTGGTATTTTAACTAGACGGACATGCTAAAAAACGCGATGACCACTATCACCAATTCAGACAATCATATTCACTGCCAGCAGTGTTCCTATTGACCATACATACTTTGCACGCTTATAATCCACGTTGCAATACTGGTGCGTATGGCGGCAAAAATGGTGGTGTTCTATCGTTTGCACGTGCAGACCACCACGACAAGACCGTTGACTCTTTCTGCAGCACAGGCCCACACTTGTGGTGCACCTCATTTAACAAGACATCCAGTGACATCCGAGGATTTTTAC